ACTTTTGTGGCACTTGATTGATTTTGTTATTAATATTATAAGTTGTGGGATCAAATAGCAGTATGTAGAACATACTTTTAACACATACAGCAACACAAGTCTACTGAAATATATGTTGATATGTATCAGTAATTTTGCTCTATAAAGGTGTTTAAATTTGGGGTTAAAATATCTCTCTGTGTATAACATATATAAAATACATATTTACATAAATATATAAAATATGTATTTATTTGTCTTTCTGATAAATGACATCAACTTATAGATCTGCACTCTTACCTTATGCCTCTAAAAATTGTAAAGCCAGCTTTTCCCGAGTACAAGAAAATCCATCTTGAAACTTTAATTAAGGAATAATCTATCAATGACAAATTACCAGAGGGTGGATATGTCACTCACAGTGTTGGCAAGTCATTTCAAGGAACACAACTGAAATCACAGGAGACTAACAAACTGATCTGGGTATTTGTTTGCACTTAACAGACAGGAGGAACATAACCGATACGAAGACATTTCAAGATGGTTTCTATATTAAGATATTAGTTTTAAATTTCTTCACTCGGGCACTTGAGCAAGTTTGCATCTTTTGGAAAGTGTGTGAGAATTCTATTTAAGAAAACCCAGTCACTTCACATGTTTAAAGCTACCCATGTTTTTTTCAATTGTGCTTGGGTTCATGAAGTCTCCACAGTGGGTGAATTCCTGAGCAGCTTTTTATTTGGCTTCATAAAGACGGTTCTTGTAACCCTATATCAATATTGCAATGTTTTTTGCCCAGCTGTTTAGAAAAAGCTCTTTAAAAACCTACTGAATACAGTTCCATTTCCCATTGAAATTTCAAACTCTAGATAGCTAAGCGGGACAGACAAACTTAATGCATAGTTTTGGTTAGATTTTGGGGTTTGTTTAAGTTTGCTTGGGATTTTTTTAGGGGACATGGGGGTAGCGTTGGTTTTGTTATTTTGGTTGGTTGGTTGTTTTGCCATGACTGACTTGCCCAAAGTTACAGAGGGAGATGATGTTAGAGACAGCTGGTATTGAAGCATTGTCTTGAGAAAGATGTCCTAGTTTGAGATCCAGACATCTGGACATCATTAACCATTGCTGTTCACACATGATATTTTACTCACACTGAACCAGGAGAGAGGCAGTAATTTATATCCTGTAGTCAGTGGGAAAAAATCTGGGAAAATGTATAAGTGAACATGAATGGAAGTCTCTAGCAGGTTCAGCTGTGGGGTAATGTCAGTGAGGAGACAGATTTAAGAATCACACCTTGGTGATTTTCCTGGCTTACAATAAGGACGCTCCACCTAAGCTCATCAGAAGAGAAGTGGTGTTAAGGTACAGAAAGTTGAGCTGTATGTGAGGAGATTTTGCAATATAAATGTTAAGCTAATTTGTGGTTTTGTTTGCTGTTATTTTTTATGTCTATCTCTAAATAATATTATGGGAAGGGGAGCAAGTATAACATTACTTGATTCAGTTTCAGTTGGCATTGTGAAATGTTAGGTTAATGGCTGTCAGGCAGTCAAATATCACGGGAGTTTGCTAGTGTACTTTGTGAATTTTGCCAAAGATTGTAATGTCATCAATACCATTAGGGACATTGGGTATGTACTGAATTACTTTGTGGATTATACTTTGAAAAGTTTCAACAGCTGAATATATCATGTCAAGCGTTCTTCTATTGTACTCAGTATTTCAAATCTTTATGAATTTGCTTCCTGGACTTGGGTTGATAACTCAAGGAAGACCACTAATTCAGAAGACCTGTACTTCAGATAGTCTATTTTAAGTTTTAGCTCCTTATAGCCATACCTTTATAGTTTTTCCTAGTCTTTAAGGAGCTTTCTGAATTTGTACAGTGTCAGCAAAGTCTATGCTATTGCTCCATACTTGGGCAGAAGGATTAAACAGGATTCAAAGATGACATCAAAATTAGAAGTGTTTTACAATTCTGAAAAGGTTTGAAAAGGAAAGGAAGGAAGATCCCCTACTGTTATCTTTCAGTATGAAGAAAACTGTGAATACCTAATAAGAGAAGGTGAAGTGTGAATTAAGGGGTTTTGGTTTTCAGTTCTAAGAGATGTTAGTAAAAGATGTAATGCTTTCACAATGTTGTTCTCTACCTAATCCATCTTATCCTTCTGTGCACACCTGGACAGCTATAGGTTACCAGCTGTCCAAACTGGAAGGACATAACACCCTTGTATGGAGGTTTTTGCTTTGCTTTCTTTCCGGACAAAGAATTCATGGCTTTTATTGGTTCAGCACTGAATAAAGCTGTCAGAATTTGTCACCATATCCATTACATAAGGAAAAAAACTCAGACGTCTTAGTTTCTGATCAGTGTATCTGTTTCAATGGCTTCTGATCAGTGTATCTATTTCAATGGCTTTGTTCACAGACTGACCTAATTTCACTAATACCTAGTCTTTTAGAAAAATCATACTTGCACCTATACATATTCTCCACACAGGCAAAATAGCCATTGAAATCAATAAACCAAGTAGTGACATTCCCACCTTTTTCCTTGGGATACACCAAAAATCAATTTTGCAGAATTCCAGGCTTCTCCTTTCCACCACAAGGTAGCCAAGTGCCGGATTTCACTGTCCAGCCATCACAGAGTACTGATTCTTGTTTCAATTCACTCTGTTTTCTTTGTTAGGCTGACAGTTGGGTAAAATCTCACTGAGCTTGTGGATATACAGGCTGTCCTTCAGTTGTGATAAGCATAAGAGGTAAATCTGTTCATAATATGTATCCATGTCTGCACACAGCAGAATCATAGCAGATGCAGACAGTACAAACAGTCAAAGGATCACTTGTAGAATAAACCCAAGAAAGAAGATCTTTCCGGACACTGTGCTGGTGAAAACCTACCCCTACAAAAAAAACCAACAAAAAACAACAAACCAATCAAAATAAACTAAAACCAAAAGAGAAGTTACCTGTTGTGAGATTTCTGATGTGTTCAAGAAAACCTGAGTTTTAATAGTTTTGTAAAATGAGATTGGTTTAAAATCCCATTACTGTAATTAATGTTGCCTTCTATAAGAAGTAGCAACAAGCAGAAAGACACTGAACACTGATGAAAAGAAGCAGTGATTAAAAGAATGAAAGGATGAAAGAACCAAAGAATCAAACTCTCACAAAGAAAAACAAAGGATACTACTAATACAGCCTTATTGTTTCTGTGCTACCAGCTACCTTTGATATTTATTTGGAGGTTTTAGGTTATTCAGTGTCAAAAAAGCAAGTTGATTTTTTTTGTCAAAGAAATCAGTGCACTCAATGACAAAAATGACATCAAGGAGTCCACCACACAATTTACTATCAGTAATTTTGAGCAAAAAATTGTCCATAAAATATACATGATTAATGTGAGCCATTCAAAATGAAAGAAAAAGCTGATTGAGGAAAAAAGTATTATGGAAGTGTCGCTTATAGAGAAAGGAACACGTAAAATCTCCAGACAAGGTTGCTGATAGGCAGAGGGAGAGATGGTGTGTGGGGGGGAAAGGTTGTAGGGGGTTTTGGTTTGTTTTAGCTTTTATTTTGAAAGATTTTCCTCATAATTTACATTCAAATTTACTATGTGACTGTCAAAGATCTTCATCTGTCTTCATCCCTTATTTCCATTCCTCAGCCTAGCATGTATGTTTCCAAGATTTATCTTCAGTATAAAGAACTTACAAAAGCACTTTTTGCAAGTAGCAAGAAAATACAGGTAAGCCATGGTGCTCCATCAGAAACTATTAAGTTTCAGCATCCTTCATACTGATTAGCTTTAAGGTAATTGAGACCATTTAATGTCTCACTGGGCCAAGAACTTTACTTTTTTCAAAGTTTATCATCAAAACTTCTATCTATCTGCAGTAACAACTTGAGGAACTGAATGACTTTCCATCTCATTTTCTACAGGATGTTGAACATATTCTTTATAATAATAAACTTAAACATGTCCCTGATAGTCAAATGGAAATAGAGCATTCCATTGGCTGTATAAGAGAGTATTAAAGCTGTTCCACATTTTCTGGTCAATTATATCAACTGTGATTCTGACATTTTCAAACTTATTTCTCCTTTTACTCGAATTATACTAAGCGTGATTGTTAAGATGATTGTCTTGGACTTCGAAAGACATGCAATGAGCCAGCTCACTTGTAGTTGTGTCAAAGTTAATTAATTTTTCTAAATCTAAAATGACCACAGATGCATTCTGCTTTCTGTTTTGAATTAAAATCACTTATTCACCTCTGGGTTATTCCTAGTTTGTATTGATTTTAGGTTCAAAGTGTATTAACTTCAATTGTAAATTTTCTTTTAACCTGCAAGGAACATGGAGGGATCACAAACTCTACTTAGAAACTTTCCCAAGGGCCTCATCCAAAGCTTAACGAAACATTCTCAGTGACTTAATTTCACTTGATGTCTTTGAAGAGCCTTCTCTTTTATCCTTCAGGTTGAATTTTGGGGGAATGCTTTTATTTAAATGCAAAATACCCCAAACTAAGTATAGTCTTCTTTCATCTGGAATCATTTGAAGTTTTGCAAATGCCTAAAAGCAAAAACAACAACAAAAATAGAAAAGCAGGTATTTAAACATAATTTTCATTAAAAAAAAAATAATCTGTGGTGGGTTAGCCTTGACTAACAGCTGAAATCCCACCCTCATGTAATCCCCTCTCTCAGTGAGATGAGGGAGAAAATAGGAAGAACAAGAAAGATCACAGAATCATAAAATCTTAGACAGGTTAGGGTTGGAAAGGACCTCAAGATCATCCAGTTCCACCCCCTTGCCATGGGCAGGGATGCCTCACACTAAACCATGTCACCCAAGGCTCTGTCCATTGAGATAGGGACAGGGAGATCCCTCATCAATTATCTTTGTGGACAAAACAGCCTTAAACTAAGAAAAAAATATTTAATTACTGATTCAGGTGCTGGTAAAGAAAAAGACAAACATTAAAACAACATTTCCTTTTCACAGTCAGCGACACCCCTTCTCTCCAGTGACTGCCACCTGAGCAATGCTGAGCACAGTGGGCAGTCACAAACAGAATGCAGCAGCTTCTCCCTGCTCCTCCCTCCTTCTCACATCTTTGCTCCAGCATGTGCTCTTCATGGCATCAGCTCCTTTGGGAATAGCCATGTGCAATGGCGTGGGATTCTCCATGGTCTGCAGCAGATGCCTGGTCCACTGCCAGGTAATACCTTCTGCTCCTCCTCCTTCTTGTCTTTCTCCTCCTCTTCCTCCTCCTTTAACATGCAAGAGCATGGGCATGGGCACGAACACAGGCACAGACATGGGCATGGGCATGTCTGTCAGCACCAACCGCTTTGATGCCTTATGTACTGCACATCTCACTAGTGCACAGATGCACTTGCAGAGAGAGAAACACACTGGTATTTAGTCCAGGATCTGTCACACTCCTCAAACGACTGTCACCAGCACGATATAACACCTGCTTGCTGGACTACCTGCAATGAACTCGACAGTATCAATCTAAACCTAGTGAGGGGGAAACCATGTGACCAGAAAAGACACAAGTAGGTTTGATGCAGTAATTACCCCTATGATAGCTCTTCCTAGGTAAGGCAAATTGGTGATGACAATGTAGGGAAATTTGCCTCTCTAGCACTGTTTCCTGAATAAAATTTCCCATAGCTGTCAATCAGGCCATTTTGCCTTCACACTAAATTAGCACCATTTATTTTAACAGTGTCTTTTGTGCAATGCTGAAAGATGAACCATAGTTTGATTTAACCTTGTGAATATTCTGTTGTTAGAAGTTCCTATTTTCATGTATGCTTTATTATTTCTTAACTAAAAGTCTTAGACATATGATCTTTAATTTCTCAGCCTGGTCCTGATCTGTAAACCATACACTAAGAGGTACTTTTTACTCTTTTTACTATGTAATTAAAGTGAACGATAGTTTTACTTTGATCATAGTCATATATATTTCAATTTTACTGTGTAGCTGTAAGGTGCTGTCTGCTTCATGTAGCACGTACCATACTTCGATATTTTGTTTTATTAAAAGAGCAAATGCCTTTTAAAATGACTGTTGTATCTCTCCCGAACTGTCAATATGATGCTGTAAGACTGAGTGATGCATGAGACATTGAATAGACTTGTTAATGCTACAAATAGTTTTACAAAAAGGATAGGGCAACATAAAGCTGAGTATTTCAAAAGTTATATCAGGCAAACTATTTTCCTTCTCAAAACAGCAGCTACAAAATACAGTGTGCTAAAACAGGAGCTGGTCACTGAGTGCAAGGATGATTTTTAATTCCTATCCATCATGGAGTTTTAAGTATCCTCAGTTGTGTTTCCAGTCCTAGTCCAAAAACTTATGTCATCAAATAAAAATCATAGTTACTGCTTGGGACAAAGACTGTACCCCATGTTTCATCTTTCAGTGCTCTGATCCCTTCACTGAAGGGTCATGCTCCTTAAGAAGCATGGAAAAACTCCTTAGGAAGCCCTTTCAAGAAGCAATATTATGCTCACTGTTCTCCTCCTTCAAGCCCTACATTAAATGAGTTCTGTTTGTTTGGCAAAAAAACATGAAAGGTAGCAAGGCTTCTGTCTGACACGTTAGGCCTTATTAATCAGACTTGTCTCTAGGCTTCCATGGAGGGTTCCAGACCTGGAAATGCAACAGAGGTTTCCTGACTATCTGAGAAAGCGATAGCTTTGGAAAACTTAAATAGGAAAGCAAGAACACTTACATTATTAGGTTTATCGTAGGCTAATAACCTTGGAGGTGATGATTTTTTTTAAATTATTTTTAAATATTTCAGGTTTTCTTAGCTATATTATTTTTTCTTGTATTAATATTAGCTAATCTGGTCCCATAAAACAAACTAAACCGTTACAATGAGACTTGAACACAGTGCATTTAGCCAAGTGCCTAATTCTTGTGTCTGCTACATTCTTCCTGAGCCATTCAAATGCATAAACTGCGGTCTTTATAAGCTTGAAATTCTCTAAGTGTCTGAGATTTCAACATCTTCATGCACAGATGCAGACCACTTTGACTCGCTTGAACTACTTGGTGAGCCTCAATCTCTTTTCAGAGACAGGATCTATCAGTGCCATTTGTGTTTCCTGGCAAGTCAGTGCCAGGTTCACATCTGAAGCCTGCTCAGCACGTTACAAGTAAAACACACTTAGGGTTTGAAATGGTGCTGGTATCACCCACCTGCCTGTTAGTGAAGGATAAGGAAGGACACCCCTAGGTCGAAAATGGTCCACAAGTTGCTCCACCTGGCCACTGCCTTCTCGGAGACAAGAAGAAGAATTTGTGCAGAGCTCCCCCTGAACTCACCCTGGCACATTCAGATAGGCTTCATGCAGGGTACAGCTGGGAAGCATGAGCATCTGCTGGCACAAGGATAAGCAAAACAGATAGTCACTGATGAAAAAGAAGAGTGAAGTAATTTGCTACCACTGTGCAGGGAGGTGGATCACCCGCTTGGACAGATGTTTGAAGGTGTGCAGGTGGCCAAGAGGAGCAGCTGTTTGCACCACGTGGGCAGGTAAGTGTCTGTGTTTCTGTGCACGGAGGAAGGATGAAGCATCCTTGTAGGAACAGAGGGGAGAAGAGGCTCTTGTAGGGAGGTGTGTCAGGTGCTGCTCTGGAGTCATCAGAAGGAAGGACTTCCACAAGCGTACCTGGCACTACCTAAAAGCTGGATCACCCTGAACCCTATAACCTATTGGTAATTGTACTGTATAACCTCCACTTCATGAAGTGCCTGAGCTCTTTATTAATACATTTCACCTTAATCACTCTGACCTCAGCTGAGCTTTACATAACTGCATGGGATGCAGCCTCGTAAGACTGGGAAAATTTAGTAGAGTCTCAGAGGTATCAAATAAACCTGAAACTACTTTAAATTTGTAACTTAAGAAGCCTTTTCTTTCTGGTCTCTTGGTTTGAAACAAAATAATAGATGTATATGGAAAATCTCATTTAGGTCTTTTTCTTTTTTTTTTTTTTTTGAGTGCTCAGATTTTATTCCATACCACTTTATTCACTCTTTATTGAGACTTTTCACCAGACATACAAATTGGATAATGTGAGGCCTCTTTTTAAAAAGTGAAAGAAACGAGTGAGCCTTTGCTAGCGAGCAAACCTATTAAATCAGCTTCTGTGTAGAAGCAGTTTTCAGCATTAGCAACTGGATACCACCCATTAGCGTGACTTAGTGCAGCTGTGAAATGCTGCCAAACTTTGCTAATACAATTATTATGTAGCAGCATTGCATAAAATAAACCAGGGCTGCCACTGTAAGCTCTCATTTGTAACAATTCTGTTTTCAAAAGCTGATGAAGACCATCAGGAAATTCTGTGGTACAAGGTAGATCTGGGAAAGCTCAAAGAGTCCCATGGGAACAAATAAAAACCGCTGCAGTACAAGACCTCTTATCAAATTAAAAGCCTGTTGCATTTCTGTGTTGGGGCTTGCTTTCCTAGAGAAAAATGACAAAATATTCTTTTCTCTGCAATTAAATAAATATGAATTCCCAATATTTGCATGTTACAAATCAGGCTGCAGAAACTTATTGTAGTTTTCTTGCTGAGTACTCAGAGAAAATAATAGTTCACAAAAGTTTGTTGATTTAAAAAACAATAAAATTTCTATTAGTCTAATTCTCTAAGTGGGGAGAAAAAATAGATGGGGGTTTTTAAATAATGGTGGTGGGTTTTTTTTCTACAGAAGACAGGATACTGTACATTGTATGTGTAAACAGATGGTTCAGAAGAAACTCACCTGATTATAACTTTAAATAAAGACCTGCAAATCCAGTCAGGAGCTCAAGAAGGATCCTTAAGACTATACTGCATTGTGTTAGTCCACAAGATCTTTAAAATACATGTCACTCCAAAATCTCAGGCAAGGACTTTGCTATGCGATGTTAACATTTAATACATGTACTTATATCCCACACACTCAGGTAATAATGAAAGGTATATTGCTTCCTCACCTGTTAGTGCATTTAAGGTTTTATAATTCATGGCCACATTTTGAAAGCTTTGCTCAGGGCAGACCCCTGCTGCTGCAAACAAATCTTTATCTGTAACCACCTAAAGGGAGGGTTTGTGCAGCTTTGTTCCCCCTCTCATTATTTTCTAACTCTTTCCTTGCAGACCTTGGCTCTTTCACCATTCACTTAATTACTAAGCATCACTTGCAAAAACAGATGAACTAATAAAAAATATTTGTTCATTACATTCTTTCCAGTCAAGTCATAACACGTATCTTTTTCACATTTGTTTTTCTTCCTATTCTTTGACTGCTAGTAAGTAACACTGCTAGCTAAAAACTATATCATGTAATGATATTATGATTTTATCACTTATTACTGTGGTATTTAAAGCATTCATCGTTCAGGAGAGCATTTCATCCCACTGAAACTTTTCACTTCTTTACTGAAGAAGATCTTCACAGGATAGTCTTTGCTCTACCCTTTTGTGTTAAGAGAGATGTGAGGAACCAAACATATTTTGAAGTGTTATATACTGTAACTCACATTTTGCTATTAGCAAGTTATGCTGGGTTTCTATCCTTGTTAAAGGATAAGCAGGATCAGCATTGGTGGCTTTAGACCTTGCAAATACTTAGCTGACCCAGTGAATTTCAAAGAGAAAAGATAGGGATCTCCAGAGGACAAAACCTGGACAGTTTGTTTGCTAGACCAATGATTTTCTAGAACACTGCTGTATTCGTACTAAAAAGACCACACAGTTTTTACCCGAAAAGCAAAGCTGGTGGCTATGGAGCTATTTCTACACTCAATTTGTCAAAAAATCTCTGTTTTTTGGCAAATCCACACGATGAAGCAGATGTGATCTCATAATTTGCTTCCACCAAAAGGTAAACATTCTTTCCCACCTTCCCCCTAAGGCTGTGGAGTTCTGCCAGTTAACTTTTGCCATTTGTGGACCATTGTGCCACTTTATCTCTGTAAGCAACTGGAATAGGATGTGGATAGAATTCTGCTGGATTAGTGAGCTCCATCAAGGAGGAAAGCACCATGACCTGGGCAAGGGCAGAGATTGTTTAATGGCCTTATTTGATAAGTGAAAGAAGAAAATGGAGTTGGAAAAACTTAGATTGGCTCAGGATCTTTCACAACAGTTTACAAAAGAATTGAGGTGCTATTTTTCTCCTTACTCTGCTCAAAATGTCCATGATGACAAAAAACCCTAGGACATTTACAAGGAAGCTCTTTGGCTTTAATTCTGTGTAAGGATTCCTGAAGCACAAATCCTACCTTGTGTTTGAGCAGAATTAAAATGAGATACAATAAAAGGGAGGATTGCTGAGGAGTGAAAAATACTACCTCATCACCTTCACCTGGTTGTACTTATTTTCCCATTTGAAGTCCGCATCTTTCCAAGTACTGTAAAGGTCAATTACATTACAAATGTGATAATTTTTCTGTTTTAATTAGCTTCATATGCATAGTTGTATTTATGTGAAATCTTACTATAATTATTCCTGCAATCTGGTAACTTCCTACCATCCCAGCTGTACAGAGTTGCTGGAGAGTCAAACTTGACAGGAAATGTGGGAGTTAATTTTGTCTATAGGGGATCCTAAGTTGCCATAGAGATGGTAAAAACCCTGGTTCTTTGTATTTAAAAGAAAAATCCAGGGAAATGGTAGGAGCCTGATGAGCTGTGTTTTTCCAATGATCTCTAAAAGTTGGAATGGTCACATGAGTCAGGGACAGCCAGGTGCATCATAGAACATGTCAGGAAGTACCTGAAGAAGGTGATGAATCACAACCTTTGATGCACTCAGTTTTTGGGAGTTGCAATACTGGAGGAAAATTAACTGGCCTTCAGATACTCAGAGACTAACCTTCTCTAGTCACAGAGGAAATGTGATTGGTGCAGCCACATCTCAGGAGAAACTAACTTTAGACAGTCTTGCTGCAAGCTCCAGGCTTACTGGAATAAACCTCTGAATTCTGATGTATGGAAGTTTGAACAGAAGACAGAGTCACTGTTATTCCTTTTCTAATGTCCTTTTTTTATTACTTTCCAAGCTTTGATTCACAAACCATGCTTCTGGTCATAAAAATTGCCACAGGGTTTGTGCCAATCAGAATAAAATGATGAGTTATGTCACGTGTACCACAAATCACAGCTGTAAGGGGATACAGAGAATTTGGACCCTCAGAACAACTTTGTCACAGAATTTTTAAGAAACCTGTGTGTAATCTGCATATATTCTCCTATCTGAGTAGAATTAACACTTATTACAGAAAGTATGTTTACTTGTTATTTATAGGGGAATATCTGTACATTTTGCATTGGTTAAAGCTATATTTGACTTTTTATTTTGGCAAACACCACAGTAAGTGAATCAGCTTACAAACTGCTCTCTTTAAAGTGAAGATTTGGGGAACACTCTTTAATCCAGCAATCTCTTTCTCTGCATCCACGGGCACAACCTACTTCTAAAGATTCAGATTAGTGGTCGACCATATTTGATAGACAATAACATAGACCAAGATATACCTTTCATTCTTCTATTTGTTCTCAGGTTTTTTTTCTTATGTAAGTGGACTTTAAATTATAAAATGCACCTTTTCTTAGTCTAACATTTCTAAAATGGTGAATTTAATGTATTCATAGTATTTGTGGGACTTCCTTACCTCCAATAATTTATTACTTGTTGTAGACTCAACCTTGAGAAACTTTATTTCAAACTGGAAGCATGATCACATAGGGAAATACAAATAGTTAGTAGAAATCAATAGGTCAAACACCATTTTCTCATGTAAGTCTGCAAGCTCAGAATGTAGCCATTGAAATCAATATATTTATTCTGGATTTACTGCTTTTTCAATGGATAGCCTTATGCAAAGATCTAGGTCTGGGATTTCTTAGAACTTATTTGCTGTATCACTTGTCATACAATGAAATTTAGGCATCACTTCAAAAAGATTCAGGGCAAAAATCAGAACAGATAAATCAACCCTTTAAATATCAAAAAAGAAAGCTATCAGTAAGAGTCTGAGTAGATTGAGAGGGAAACAATGGTGTAATTGAAGAAAGAATGGTATCCACAACAAATTGTTTAATACTCATTTGTAATACACATTTTTTTTATAGTTGGGATAATTCAAGAGTAGAAAGTAAGACATTATCTACTCAACAAAAGATATACCAGTCTTGATAGCTCACCCTTTCATAACACACACTAAAATGTATGTGTAAAGGTTTCTTACAATACTTTCAGAAACCAAATCAAGAAAAAATTAGTTCTAGATCAATATAGATTGTGTTTCAGAAGATATGATTTAACAGATTAGAAACACAATTAAAGCATAGTTATGATAAGTGATAAATCCTGGAGAACAGAAACTTATCTCTCTTAATTGGGGAAAAGCTACATGATGTAGATAAAAATTTGAAAGTTAAAATAATGTATCAAATAGTAAACAGGCCTTGGTGTTGTCAGTGCTTGAACAGAAGAACTCCAAGGAAAGATTATATGCTGCAGGAAGTCATTTGAATCAGTGACCCTCTGAGTTAGCACTGGGATAATGTTGCACCTCTGGATTAGGGAGGAAGCCATAGAGCCATGACTTGTCAGCATTTATAGACGTTATTGAAACTGCCACTGATTTGTGCTTTGGGTTTGTTTTTCCTCACCAGCCAAGTGTGTTAATTCTGGTTCCCTGGATAATTTGAACCAGCGAGTTATATTGAAGGCTTTATAAAATAAATGATGTGACTTTTTTTATTCTGAAATTATAGCTTTTTTCTGCCTTATTTCAAAATTGTTACTGCGGTGTCAGATTAAGGTAGACAAACTAATTTTATCATCCTTTTCCTTATCTTTCCCACATAAGGCAGAGACTTCTTTTTAGAAAACTATATTATTTAGAAAAGCCTAGCATTCTCACAACTTGGAATTTGAAATTAGATACATAGTGTGGCCTTTTTCAGAGATCTGACTTTTGCTGTCTCTGTAAAAGTCTACAAAAGCTGTTATTCCTTTGGAAATCACTATTTGCTCATGCTTGGTAGTGATCTTTTTAATTTTTTAACACTTATATATTCCCGAAGAATACCATCTGCACTGGCAATGCTCCAGCCAGGGCTGAGAATGAACTTCCCTGCAACTGTCTTCTAGGATGCTTCAGTCCATGCCTGGTCCAGCAGCTGCACTGAAAACTGAGTCTGTTCTAGAGAGGATCTAGTGCTCTCAGCGACATCCTACAAAGGACTCACGGGGGATGCAATGGGAAATCTCCCAAATTCAAATACACAGGAGATAAAGTCTAGCATTAGTGCAAGAGAAAGGATCAGAGGGTAAAGCATGGAGAGACAGAGACTGGGATGGCAGCCTGGGGTGGAAAGGGCTGTTGCTCTTGGAGTGTAATGGGAGAAGAACATGGCCCTGCAAAGCGAGTCATGGTGGGATAGGTCTGAGTTATGACGACAGAGAGATGTGATAGCGGTCTCTAAGGAAAAGGCTAGGACTGGAGGCTAGAAGTGGAATGGGAGAGCACGAGAGAAACTGAATGAGAAAGCAGAGGGGGATACTGCATTTGACTTATGAAACAAGCTTATTGTGTGACCTCGGGGTCATGTAACTTCCACACACTGAATCAGCTCCTGCAGTTTTAATGATGTCTAGACGAGAGGGGGAAGCCAGAAGCACCAACTCTAATCTTCGCCTCTTTCTGAGCCTGGCACTCTAATCGCATTGGGATATCTGCCCCATCACTTAGACAGATCTGCCTTTTTCCCCTAAGACTTCCCCTCAGAGGTTAGCTTACCTCTTTCCTGGCCTTGAATGATTCATCCTCCCCAGGAATTTTTCTCCTTTTTGACCATAAATCTCCCAGCAGACCTGGCTCCAAGTCAGAAGTTTCTTTCATCTCACAACCTGTACACTCATTCTCTTTATCTGTGAAGACACCGTTAACACTGGCATGGGCAAAACTTGAACTCCTGACCGAACCTATTTTGGTATTAACCAGACAACTCAAGTGCACAAAAAACTCCACGCTATCAGAAAATGACCAGTAGCAAATGCACCAAAATTCTTCTTAAAAGCAGCACAGAAAAATGTTCTCTTAAAGGCAGATGGAGTCATTATAGTTGCTTAGTTCAACAGTCTACTTAAAACAGCTTCCAGAAGTTTAGCATGCAACTACTGACTCACATAGCATATCTCCTTTAGAAGGACAGACGGGTAAAAAATTCTATGGTGATTTTTTATTAGGTGGAGTTTTGTTTTGTTTTTGATCTGAGAAGGGAAAATACATGGAAAAAGAGGCAAAACTTATAAACAACATAGGCAAAGAGTGCAAATAACAAGACATAGAAATGTGAATCCTATTTCTCACTTCTGAGCATAACAGTGAGCAAGCCCACTGATTTCTCTATGCCTCTTTTTCTCCAGCAGTATTGATTTATTTTTCTTCATTTAGCCAGGTGGAAAGCAAAGACAAAGTTAGGGTGTATGTTTGGAGGCATTTGTAAGTATATAGTTTATATATGACTGAAACAAAGCCCACTCCCAGCCTGTGGTGCCAACCTCTCCCTGGGGTCTGAGAAAGCTCTTAGCAGCAAACTTTCCACCAACTACATGGAAGTGAATATAAAATCACTTCTGATGAGCTTGCAGAAGAGGTGAGAACTGATGGCATGGAAAGGAAAAAAGCTGACTGCAGGTGCTACTCGGCAAATGGATACCCTTCAATCACAATGTGCTTCATTCTGTCTCACCAAATTCCAGGTAACAGACTGAGAAATACAAGTCCAGAGAATGGAGTAGTTTGTCTTGGAAAGCAGTGATTCTGAAAGGAATTTAGGGGTCACTGTAGATACAGGACTCTAAAAACCTTTCTGTGGTGCTGTGAGAAAAGAGTTAATGCCATCCAAGGGTACATAAACACAGGAGTAGAAGGAGGTGAGCTTACCTCTGTGTGATTGTTATTGCAATAGTCTGCTGTTCTGGTCCCCATATTTTTAAAGGATGTTGGTGAGGGTGTTAAAAAGAGCCATAAAAATTATTTAATGGCCAGACACTTAATGACTTACAGCAAGAAATTTAAAGCACTCATTTTGTAAAGCTTATAAATAGGAAGATTGAAAGGTGATTTGATAATGTTTTATAACCACATACATAGGGAAAAAACACCAAGGAACAAAGGGTTCTTTAATCTACTGGGGAAAAAAAAAGGAGTACAGAAAAACTTGAGGACGAAAAGCTGAAAATAAAAAATACAGTACATATTTTTTTATCTGAAAAGGTAAAAATTAATGAAAATTTGCAGGACCAACTCTTGCTGACCTTAGATCAAGAGTGAAGTCCCCTTCAGCAGCTGGCTGTAAGTGAAGACAATATTTTGAATTATGTTAATGTAAGGGGAAAATGAGAAAAAAATATGGTACTCACCAACTTCCAATATTTCATTAGTATTTGCTTTTTAATTGGCATGGCATGGGAAACAGACTGCTGTATTATTTGGTAGCTTTATTGAGCTTCAGGATCATAGGTTTCCAGTGAGTGGGACAATGCAGAGGGCATAGTGTTAATATCCAAATCAGCCAGCTAGAGATGTGAACTTAGCTACAGGAAAAAATGGGTGAGACATGACAATGATTTGTACAGATAGGCTGAGATAATGGACATAGAGTGGGCATAAGAAAAAGTTTGCCATCGCACTTGTAGGACTTGCCAGAAGATACACAGCAAACATCATCTCCTTTTCCGACATTTATTTCGAAGGAACTGAACACCATCTGGTTAAAAGGTAAGAGCCTTTTTGGTGTTTAGATCACATCCAGACTGAGTGTTTACTTCTGAATTTCATCAACTAAAAGAATACTGAGTTAAATGTTAAGAAACAAACTCAAAAGAAAACTTCTTAGTCTTTGTAAATAATTCTAGGGGGTTTAGTTTATCTGAGTTTTACTTATTTTGCTGTTTGCTTGCTTTCACCTTTCTTTTTTTTTGCTTCCTTCCTCACTTTTCTGGGTATTTCTGTATGTCCAACACATGGAAGCCTGGCCTCTCTGACAGAAGTGTGCTCTTGTTGCAGCTGCTGTCCCCTAGGCTGTCTGCTCTGATTGAGCGCACTTCACCTTATTGTTGAGACAGGAGGAGACCCTGGTCCTTGTTATCCTCCTTTAAGAGTGAACAAATAATTCATAATGAATAGCTGATTTGGTTAATTTCACTCCCTCCTCCCTGTTTGTGAGTTATTTATGATTCCCATAAATACACTTGCTGAATAGTTCCTATTAACCGTTCTGGTCTGCATCTCATTTCAGAGCACTTTACTGCAAGTCTTCAATGTCTGACATTTGAACTGTGCTATCTAGTTTAAAGTAAGCATTTCTCGTATACTTTTCTATCACATGACTGAATTCCTGGGATTCACTTTTCTTAACAGCTTAGGATAGTCTATCAAAGAAAATCGTCTCCTGTCACACACCGTGTGATCTCTGACAACCATGGTCACCTTTCTCTACCCTAGGTGTAAACTGGAGACAACACATTCCTACTCACCTTTCAAACATGGATTTTTGTGAGAGTGTCCTGGGTTTTTTTTCTTCCCTCTCCCCACCCACATTTCTGAGTTCTTCCATATTCTTGATGTTTCCTTGCATGTTCAGGTCCTTTCTCACCTGGCTATAGAGAAGATGCTGTCTCCTTGCTTTTTACGTTCTCTGTAGTTATGATTGCTTTCTGGTGCAGAGAAACTACTTGAGCAACAAACAGGGACAGAGTCAAATCATTTTATTGTCTGGTCCTTCTCTGAAATCAGAAGTTTAATTGCCTTGTGGATTTTTCTGATTTGACCCTTGCTGTAGCATCTAAGTACTTCATACGCCATACCATAACACCTTTTTGCAGCTGGAAAAATACCAGCATTCAGAGATTAATATTAAAAGTATTCCCTAATTTTAGAATTTCCAAATTATGCCTTCTTCTCTGTATGGTTGTGTATTATCTACAAAATCAGCTGCACCACATAGATACTGAGTCTTCTTGGTGCTGTCAATAGTGCTTATGTACTTCTGCTCTGCCACCTCCGCGAATTAATCTCCCCATGTCAGATTTAGGTCAGTTTAATGCTCCTGAGAAATAGTAAGCATTACTCTTACACTGCTCAGAAAATGAAATCATATGCAAATGAATGGGAATCAGATTGCAGTGAAACTGTTCAGACAAAATTTATTAGTCTCCAGCACATCAATCAATGGCTGTGCATAAAAGATACGTATCTAAGTGATCCTGCATCTTTCATAAAGCATAAAATTTACAGTACCTATAATATCCTTATGCATAAACTTAAATGTGAATTGTCAGTGTTTAAAATTATCTAGAAAATGGCCTGCTCTTATAATTATTAAAGCAAATGTATAAACCCTGGATGACAGAAAACACAATTTTACTGCTATTAAGAGACAATTTAATATATGAAATCACATTAGCATGCTCAAAAGATGGCTTTCAATCATTCATATGAACGTTACAAACCTGTTCTATGGAACTTCAAAAGAGGATGGGTGATTTTTTAGAGATGAACCTTTATGAGTAGATTCCTTGCATGTTGCAAGTAGAACAGAACAGCTTATCTGCTGTCCTAGGAAACCATCAGCTATGCAAACTTCCTTCATATACCAAGGAGTGGAGCTACTTATATAAATCTGATAAAAAATTTTGTTTGGGACTAAAGCCAATTTCTGGATCTCATTATTTAATATTGATTAGACACTTCTGTCCCACTTCAGGGGCTGGGAGAGAGGGAGGAGAGGGAGGTGAAAGGATTTTGTTTATGAGGGCCCTCAAACACTGTGACAAAATGGGAGAGGACTTAAGATTCACAGCTTCCTCTGCCTGGAGGAGCTCAAACCATTGACCAGTCTGGTATCCTAACCTCCAAACCACTGGATAACTGGAAGGGAGAGTGCAGACGCATTAAGTACAGACCTGTCTGGAAATGTCTGCTCATATACCTAAAATTTCCTCCTCATGTGTCTCCCACAGCAGCAACCATCTCCCATAGTATTTCTCAAGAAGACTTCATCCTCTCTTCTTTAAAGAGAAGCTTAGAAAACTTCCCTGACTTATTCTGTCTTTCCATTTGCGCTCCTGCAATATAGCTACATGACAATCTAGACTATTCCAGTTGGTACAATACCTACAGTTTTTGCCATAACTCTAAGGCTGACGTCTGTTCTTTGGGGATGCAATAATACCAGCAAGAAAACTTAATTCCAATAGCATAGACCTGATCCTGAATTTTGAGGATTGCCTGGCTGTTGTGTATGTTTACTAGTATACTGCTTCTGTAGAAGTGACACATTTTCTTGGTTCAATAGAACCTGCATCAAATTCATAGGAAGGTATCCAAATTGTAAAGGTGGAAAACACAGAGATCTTCTATAATTTAAACATATTTTATAGTTTCTTTTGTGTAAATAGATTGCCTTTTTCATTCTGAATTATTTAACGTCTGCCAAAAGTCAAGAGCCAGTTATGCTGTAGTTATATTTCTGGCTACCTGATAAATATGAAATCCAGTTTAATTTATGAGAGGACAGGTAAGTGCGAGACCTTGATACAGAAGATACATGAATGACCAAGGTCAAAAACCATAATAGACTTTTGTGTTCAGAGCTTAAATAATAACTCATAATCAGCAGAGATAGGAGAGAAAATGGAGGTCAAATACTGGTAGAATGATTGAAGCAGCATGTGCAGATGTTATTCAAACTGACAAAGTAAATATTATTTCAGTGAATGGCACATTCAAAATGGGTTTTTTTTCAGCTCCCGTTTGTGATATGCAATAAAACCTCTGCCTGGAACTACTTATTTTCTAATAAAAGCTCAGGAAAGATGTGAATACAGGATTTATGAACACACTCTGTGACGAAACTTCATTTGTGTAGTCAGGTGTGTGTGTGTATATATATGTATATATATACACACTCTTGGTCTGGAAAATAGCACCCAAGCTCAGTTTTCATTGTTGCATAAACATGGCTGAATTTTCTACTAGAATTATCATCTCTACGTCCACCCACAAAAAAAGAATGAAAAAAAACAAATTATTTCCGAATAATTAAAACTAACCCCTGTCTTTCAGTGCTAGGGGCTTCCATAGCTTCATACTCTCTGAGCTTTGATTAATAAGTCCTTACTTGACAAAAAATTTTATTAGGAGAGGACTCTAGGGACTATATCCCTCTGAAACTTTTTAGTGGTGTGAGATGGTGTAGTTTAGGATTCAATTATGTGCAAGAAAGAAGAGGTACAATTCTTAGTAAAGAAAATGGAATTAAGCATTCTTTATAATTTATTTTCTTGAACCATACATTAAACAAAGAGATCCAAATCCGTAGGAAGCCATTCAGGAGCTAGTGTTCATATCAAAATGGATGTTTATGATCCATGGCACAGGGTAAGATCTCAGGAGAAAGACAAAGACTCAGGCTGAAATATAAGTGAAATCATAGGCTATGAAAAGAGTAAGGTGGAGCAACATAAAGCAAAACCTATCTTAAGTCAGAAAAAAATATGGAGAGAGAAAGGATTTCTGAAGTGCTGCCTGAGTTGCAAGCAGAGATGCACAAGGATGAAGTGATGCAGCATGGAAAATAGACAAGCAGCAAGTGAAGAGATATTGTTTCCTGAATGAAGAATTTATTTGTAAACCCATTAATTGTTGTTCAAACCAGGGCACTGTAAAAGAGAGGAATATGAATAAAAATAGAACTAATACAGCCACCTGGTTACATTCCATTGGGACTGACTTTATTGGAGGGCAGAGAGCAGGGTAACAGGGCTCACTAACCATCTTCATGTCATGCAGCTGTATGACTCATAAACCCATGCAGAATGTGCTCAACAAAATATTTTTAAAGTTAGCCTGGTCATTTATGCTTAAATAGCATAAGAAGAGAAAAAGTTTTAGAACTGATGTAATGTCAGAAGTTACTGCTTTTTATTGGCATACTGCCATACGCTTTCTGGTTCAGGTCTAGCACAAACATTAATTCCAAACACATAAATTGTACGTGACAAGTTCAACAACAAAAAGAAAAGCTGTGCTACGTTTAAAATGGCAGTCTTGACTTATCAAATTCTTGGTCACATAATGCAGAAAATAA